ACGCACGCACGCACGCACGCACACACACACGCACGCACGCACACAGACACGCACGCACACACACACACACACACGCCGCCACAGCCATAGCTGTGTTCATCGAGTAACTAAGCCGAGACGTGGGAGCGAGCACCAGTCTATTCCGTGACGACAATGAACCTACCACTAGAAAGTTGTACGTGTAAAAATACGAATTTAACAAAATAAGATTGTTCATAGACGTATTATTTGAGATTTCTCCTATTCCAAGTTTATTCTAATTTATTATAATTAAATTGCTTTAAATTAGATTGATTGAAGTATGTTGGGTATTTTATAAAACATAATTACTACACAATTATGGTGATCGGGAGGGAAAACAACTGAACAAAACCGATACCTGTGCCGATACAGCGATGGCTAATCGTTCAAACGGAACGCGTTTTCAACAACAAAACAAAAATATGCGGCTACTAAGATCCAGATCCTCGTATAACACAAACATAGTACAAAAATTAGCGACTAGACAGGTAATTGCGTTTTGATTTGCTGTATGTAATAATGCTTGGCCCGAATCGCTACGACGCTAGCAGCATTGCCAACCGGAGAAATAAGTCCGTAGGCCAGGTTCAAGGATAGAGAACATGGGTCCCAATAAAACCAATGTCATTTACATCAATATAAATATAATTTTATATCAATATAATAGGTTAGGGTTATAGTTAGGGTTAGGATTAGGGTTAGTGTTAGAATTAGGGTTAGGGTTAGGCACATTGTTTTTATTGGGACCCATGTTCTCTATCCTTGGGCCGTAGGCCATACTCACTCTCAGGCTCATGGGGTCTATGTCCCCCAGGTTACCGCCGGAACGCACCCTGGTTATGGTCCGGTATACCGGAACGTACCCTGGTCACTATTTGATATGGTTAGGGTTAGAGCTCGGTTTCGAGTTAGGGTTAGGGAGTAGGCGTAGGCGACTCCCTAGACTCGTTAGGGGAGTAGCCGAGGTACGGTCCGGCATATTAGATAGTACCAGGATACGTTCCGGTATACCGGACCGTACCCAGGGTACGTTCCGGCAGTACCCCGGGGGACATAGACCATCTCAGTCTCAGCCATACTCAGTAGTAAGCTGGTTGCCGTTGTTGCTCTGTCCAGACTTGTTGCTCTGCCACTCACCATCTTGGGGCTAAATGAACATAGATGTTATGGGGATTGGGCAGAGCAGGTTAAACATTACTTAGAATCAGCCTGGAAGCTCCCAGGGTTCTTGTTAATAGCCGGTAACCGGTTATTTTTACCGCCTATCGCGCAATTTGTTACCGGCTATCAATTTGAGAGAAACTCCCACTAAAGGCGGTAAATAATAGATACTTAATAGCATATATTTTCCTATCTAAACTACCAAATTCTAGAATCCATACCCATCAAAATAGGCTAATTGTGGGTCAAATCAGAACATGCACCCCCGGACCCCCCTAGCAGGGCTTCGCGCCTTCGCCGCTCGCCCTACCGTCCGTGCCGGAAAAACAGTTACCTGCTATTCATTGTCAAATTACCTGCTTTGTCAAAAGTTAACAAGAACCCTGAGCTCCGGAACAAAATCTCCCGGTAAAGTGAAATTACCGGTGGGAAACTATCAAAATAATAAAAAGGGAAACATCGATCTAAAGCCCAAAAGTAAAAGTAACGACGTGGATATTCGTTCAAGCATCGGACACCTGTTCGTATGCGCTATTCGTTCGAGCAGTTGTTGCGCATGCGCTGTTCATGTTGCATGCCGCAGGCGCACTACACGAGTGCCGGAGGTAGGAATTGTGAAGGGGGTGTTTGGGGGTTTCCCCCCAGAAAATTTTGAAATCTAGATGCTCTAAAATGCTAAATTGCTATGAGCGTTTTGCTACGGCTGTGACGCCCTGCATACATGCGTATGTGGTTATACACCATAGATGGTGTTTGGTACTATAACTCAAGTATATAAGAGATCCGAGTCGGTTTATAGTTAGTGTTGTGGTTGTGATTGTGGTTAGAGAGTAGGCGACTCCCTAGACTAGCATTATATTATATTTATGTAATACAGCGTGAGAAACTAGCGGTCGCCCAGTCGCCAGTGGCGATTAGAAAATCTACCGGGCGACTGCTTGCTTGTGTCAGCTGGTCCGGCGGGGCGACTAGATAATGCCGCACAGCAGCGAAAAAAATACAGACTTGTAAACGGGAGCGCATAATACGACCCGTTCCTCAACGTAGACGGCCGGGGTATCCAAACCTTCTAGCGCTGCATGAACTCCCTCAACGCATGATTCGCCACACGAACAAAAACTCGCGACGGTCTAAGAAATCGATTGCGGCCGGCATGTAGTGCAGCCGAGTGTTTTTATGACCGCATATTACCCATAACAATAAGTTTTTATATCGCAGGTGTTATCGTGGAGTGAGGCCACGACCAGTGACACCTGACACGCACGTTAATCAAAGCTGTTAAAGGATAATTCGCACCATCGATTATGCAAAGTGACGAATGCTACAGTAGACTGGCACCTTTGCGGCTAGTAATAAGTACAATACCTTATAGCAAACGCGTATCTAGTTTGTCCAATATCACTGGAATTACTAAGAATGTCTAATTTGAAATCCGTAAATTTGGTAATCTTGCGCGACAACGCGAAATTTATGGCCAACAAAATAACATCGAGTTTCGAGTTCGGGGACTTCACATGTGGCTACCAAGATGTTGAGCATCGAATTGTTTGTCCCGGGTAAAATTGTTGCCTAGTGTTATTATTTGCCTAGTGCCACATATGATATGTTGCCTTGTAATCTCAAGAACGTATATCATTTGATTCCCGCAATCCCAAGAGTAAAAACCATAAACGTACGGAATCCCACTCAGACTACAAGCATCGCAAATCACTGACGGCCGAGCATACGTGCCGAAAATGCTCCGGCTGCCACTATAATCTGCTATGACACCGCCTCGCAGTCGACGGTTACAGCCGCGACATGACGGTTCTAACTCTCAACAACGATTCTTGGACTGCCGCATTTTCAATTAGACTTTTAGTAACCAGCAGTGATTTATGGACAAACTAATACGCGTTTGGCTATAGGTAATGCTAGCTTATTAACTACACAAGGGTGGCCAGTTACTGTAGCAATTCGCTTTAAAATTGCCATAACGATGGTCGAATTATGCCTTTAACATATGAATGTCGTCACCTTTGTCATGCTGGACTATGGAAAATGGAATGCGCTCGAAACTGGACTATTGTTATTCAGTTAGATAGCTAGAAGCATTAAAAATTGTATATACTTAAAGATTCTAGGCATCTTGTAACTTTGCGGATGTGCGGCAGCAGTGATCTATGCCGATGGCGCGTACCGTGGCGACTGGCGAGGAGAAAACACGAAAGTAAAACCTTCCGCCTGAAGCTCCCCGCATCCTAGAGCCCATTCCAGCTACAAGTTTTTTTAACATACTCAACAGTAACTAAAAAACTCTGGTGTACTGTGTAGCTGCATGTCTGCCTGTGGAATTAAATTTGAATAAGAATGTGATTGCTTCTTAGCGCCCGTGAAATGCAGATTAAAAAAAAAACGTGATCCGAATGCAATTTGTTGACGATTTTCTTAACACTGCATAGTCTGATACTGGTGCTGCATATGCGCTGAGTACTCTGGCCAAGCCTAAAAATCTCCCGTAAAAAAATTCACGCGAAGCTCTTTTTTTCATATCAATATTCAAAAAATGCGTTACGATAATACTGGGCATATCCCCGACCAATCAGCAATCGCCGAGAATAAAAATATGATAATTATAAGGAATACATGGCGCGGTCTTCAGAGACCAGCTGATCGGTATGAAATCGACTTGCGCGACTTGTTCCGATTTACTACGCATCAGTGTAGTTAAAAACGAGTAAAAAATATATTTTTAAGAATAACTTAGAATGCCACATCACCAAATTGCCACCATCCCCCCATATAAAGACGTCCCCACATCCGCAGTCATTTCACTTGCTACGAGCAGAAATCCTGGACCAGCTGCCTTTACTGACCAGCGACCAGCGGCTTCCTCAGAGGCCCACTGCGTCCTGCTGGACCAGTAGCCTCCATTATCAGTTTTTTCACCCTGTAATACAACTGAACAGCGCATGCTGCAAAACTGCTCGACCGGATAGCCGCATCGACCGGCGTGCTCTAATGCTCGAAGAATATCACGCCTCCAAAAGTAAAGGCTTCTGTTCACATATACATACGCTCTACTACTACTAGCTACTAGCTCTGTATAGAGGGGTTCCGCGCTTGCACTAAAAATAGAAAATATACCGTACATTCTCGTGCTGCGCGGCCATACTGTTCCCAGAATTGCGAATCACATTGTTATCAGATATGCGCAATCTACCGATTGTACATCGATCGGTTCTAGTGTTATTATAGCAGGCGTGCAATTAACGAGAGCCGGCGCAAATACTCCTAATTGACTGTCCGACTCGCTGATTTGACATAATGCAGGAGTCCGTGTGACTCCCTGAAAATTCTCCATACTACTTCGTTCGCGAGCACGGCCTCGCCGGGAATTACATATTTTTCTAGCTAATGTCCAAAGAAAATTTGGGCAGACGCTGCAACCGCATCATCTAAAAATAAGCCACATCGCGTTATGTAGTTAATATCTTAAATATTTTGAACCTCAGACCTGCGGAATCCTCATTTTGCATGCGGACTCGCTCTTTTTGATCTTTTTTGAGGGTTTTTGGGCGGCTCGCCTTGGGACTTTCCGTGTCAAGGTTAATTCTACACTGTTATAGTGATCTATAATACATTAGCAGTAAGCTAGGATCGCCGTTTGCAAGACAGGTCTTACCCAGCGCGTTTGGCGTGTGCTAGATTCGATATGATTGTGCAGACGCCGTTTTACAGGGTGGTTGGCAGCAGGTTTAATCAGCGTGGGTTTGGGGTGGCTAGTCTGCTAGAGTTTCAATGAGATTCACACAGGTCAGCGTTTTTGCAGGGCTTTGCAATGCGGGTTTATTAGCGTGGCTTGGCCATGCTAGAGTTCGATTTGCACGGTTGCGCCAGTCGGCAGATTGCTAGATTGCAGGCAGAATCGGCGGAGATTGCACGCAACAATATCAATGGACTTGAGTATTGCTTTCATCGCCGCATGTTCCGAAATTTCACCGATTTTACTGCATATAGCTATCAAACGCAGCTTTTTATAATATCGAGTGTATACACATTTGCCAAAGTTCTGTCTGAAGTGTACGTAGTATGGACAAGTACTTTGATTCACTAGACAACGTAGCACAAGCACGCTATCTCGAGAAAATTGCGTGCATTGGAATCGACACCCGTACGCAGAATGGAGCGAGGACACTACTTGTGCCCATCACGTACTATTTTATAGGATCACCGTGAATTGACTACCTAACATTCTAGCTGAGTCCATTTTATACTTTCAAGGACTTTCAGAACCACAAAAGCCTGGATACCTACGATCGACTGTTCTGCGGTTGGGTTAGTGGTG